CACAAAAGTAGATTTCTCCTGACAGTGGTTTAACCGGTATTTAGGCACCCAGATTATGACACTGCGAATTCAAGCAGGTAATCAACCACAAGCCGATGTTCTGACAACTTTTCGCCATACAGGGGAGCAAGCAAAAACTAAGATGTTTGCCGGGCTATTCTTCGCCATTGCTATAATCTTCCGCCCGGGTACGTACATGCAGACTTGAAACTTCATTACACTTAGGTAATTCATTTTCATAATAAATTAATGTGTGGCTGTGAACCACCATGCGTAGGCATTTAAATTGGCCTTTCGGTACAAACAATCTGAAAAGATTCGAGGTCATGATGTCAGGTGGTCATGATGACTTTCGGAGCAGTAGATCAGCGATGTAATTCGCGCACGTAGTACTTGCAGTACTTGTACTAGTGCAGAACATTGTACGCACATAGTACTGCGTTGTGTTTTAAATTATTGCTAACTATCTGCCAAATTTTCAGCTCTTTCCAACGGCGAAGGCATTGTCGAAGCAGTTCCTGGGATTATCACAGCAGGCTGGGTCGTCGTCTACAGCATTCTTGTACTGATCACCCGGTCACGGATAGACACGACTTCCACCATTGGAAATGGTACCACTACCGACTGTAGCTCCACCTGCGACCCTCAATCGCCTGCATCGGCTACACCGCCAGGATTGCTCTTCTGTAAAGTGTTTGCTGTCTTCTTGGGAATCAGTACCTTTCTGTCCTTGGCTTGCTTTATCCATGGCACCATCGTGCTGGCCGGTATAGAAACCAAAAACAGCACAATAAAAACGTCAGGTATCATGGGAGTCGCTGCCGGAACATTTTTCTGCTTATGGAATCAGTGTGTTTAGCATCCGCTCTTAAGGATATTAAACATGCCGGCCGACCTTCACCGTCACCCACACCTGCCTTGCCAATGGGTTCTTCTGGTTGTCGTACATTCCACGATGCAAATTTCGCTCCATTGCAGCATCCACAAATGCCTTCGATTAGCACTATCTGCCTGCCTAACATACCACAGCCTGCGTGTCCAGAAAATTCAGGGAGTCTAAACGATGTTCCGCACTCGTCTGACAATTACAGTCGATGGGATAGTCCGCCAGCTTATGCAGATGTTGTTCGGTCATAACGTTTACTTTATTGCTTTGCGCTTGAAAAATCCCGTATTCTCATCTAATTCAATGATTTTGTTATGTAGATATATGTGGAATTTGTATTTCTGGAGCTCTCCTTCCTTATACGAATCGCCATTCTTGCCGGATGCAATGTTTCTTATCCATTTCACTTGGTAACCGCATTTTGCTCTTACCATTAGCTAATTTCCTAGTTATTCGATCCCGACTGCCATCTCAGCAGCGTTTGTTATTGTTATATACTGTATTTTGCTTCCCCGTATCAAACCCAATAAAAGAAACGCTAAAACCGTTGCTGTGTAGTGTGTACGTAAATGCACTCATTGAAACGTGGGTACACGTATTTTTCTATTTTCTGGATGCAGTAACAGCAGCGTTTATGAATCTTATTAATCAGATGGTGGTGTTAAATTTTGCGAGAGACATTTATATAACGAGCACAAAAACTTAGTACCGTTTCAACGGTTAACAGAAAACAACAACATTATACAAGGGAAAAGTAGTGGCTCTCAAGCCGTGCGGTGAGGCAGTGCATTAGGTCTTTTAGTAGGCAGTGGCTTTCGTGTACGGTGTATTCACGTCACCGTACTTTTACATCATCAAAAGTACTCTAACGTCATCAAACATCATCATTTTAGATATTTATGCAATTTCCGTAAAACTGGGATTCATTTTAAAACTGGGATTCACTTTGCCGCTACAGTATGTTGCCCGCACCAAATGGATCCATTTTCCGAATATAGCGCGATATTCACGATTCATGGCAAAGAATATAACCTGCAATCAATAAAAGGTTTATGCAGGTATTCATAATATTATGATTCTGCGACCATTCGTTCCTGTTCTGCATGCTGCATTTCAAAATACGTCCAAAATGTTTTTTTCGGACGTTTTATCTATACTCGTAGCTTTGTAAAGCCTAAAAGGGCAAAAATTACGGAATTTACTCAAGAGCTGAAAACAACTGAACAATTAACTGACAGATGCGTCTTAATCGATAGCTGTCAAAAACAATTAGCATGTTAAATTTTTCTCGTAATATTGGACTGCTAAACAGTTTACGTTCTACCTTTTCTTTGTTTGTATATGAAACTAAGGCTGCAACTTTTATTAGCTAACGTTTGTTGCCAGTCTTATTCAAAACACTTAATATGTTTTAAAATAATAAATTTCGGTGCGTGCAGCCTCCGAGAAGGCGACTAGGAATAGGTGCAAGTACTACGGCGGAACTACACACCTTTTTCAAGCAAATGCCTGTTGCTCGTCTGTTGCAGCACAGTGCGTAATTGCGGACAAAAAAGCTCAAACCGTTAAAAAGCGAGCATTATGAAAATACGAGAGACATGTATTGTACATAGACAGACAGCGGTTTTTACCGCATTGCCTGCGTATCCTAACATAAAGACGAACCGTACCCACAGCGCCACTGCCGGGTTACGCAGAACTGTGCCGCTGCGGTCGAAAAACGTCAGCGCCGAATGTGGAAAGAAGCAGACGCAATGCCAGAGTGCCGCCACAAGCAAGATAAGCGCCAGTCGAAAGCTACGCCGGTGAAATGACGACGTGCGGTTATTTCGTCCCAATATCCTTTGAAAAACAACGAAACCGATCAGCAGAACGTACGACGTGCGGTTATTTCGTCCCAATATCCTTTGAAAAACAACGAAACCGATCAGCAGAACGTAGATCGCCCCCGTCAGCGTCAGCGGCAGATACGTCGTTAGCACCTGGTGAATGCTACCGGCTTCCGGGGTGATGGCCTTAACGCTGCAAGCGTTTAGCGGTGGGGTCATCTCAAATCGCGATACCCATGGCCAGCCAAATATGACAGGGCCCCACAATACATTGCCCCACAGATGACCCAATTGATAAGGATGATAGTCGTATTTGTGTTTTGTCTGGTGCAATAAGCGCGGAAAAGAGCGGGAAACCGGACCGCGGCAATACGGTTAAAAGCCAGGAAAGCCGATGACCAGTAACCGGCGGTTCGGAATATGGCAAAGGGTAGTTGTAGGAAGGTGCAGAGCGTTGAAGTGACCTTTAAAATTAAAACATATTTATAGAGTACCTCAATTCAGAAATGTAATACGTAGTACATACGATCACGAGCACAAAACTTTTACGAAACACGCCATTGATTCATTTTTAAGGCTAACAACAGGATAATTAATTGGCAATTTGAGCAATAACTATCTTTTCTTCAAAATTCCGTTATATTAGACGCACCACTAATGCGCCGACCAACGTTATAGGTAACTGCTGCACAATGTGCAGTAAATTCCTTACTGGATGTTGTCCATACAGGATCTGCGTAAAACTAACGGGATGATTAATACAGCACATAACCATCTCCACCACTGCAGCATGGGCGATTAACAGTCGCGTACCACTGCGATCACGTCCGATTTTACGCTTTGACACCTGCCAGTGCTCCCACGCAACACCCATTAACATAATGCATAGCGCTCCGCCCACTCCACAAAATGACATAGAAACACCGTACCACTTGGCTAACTGCCGGCTGAAATTTGTTTCGCTAACGTTACTGGTTTGGGATATATTACTGAGTAAATGACAGGGAAACGAATGATTCCTAGGCAGATTGGTCGGATAACCTTGGAGAAATGAACGGTTGTAGTTATTGTAACAAAACATTTCTTTTCGACCGAAAGCGACGGAATCCGTATGGCCAAAATACTGAGTGGACGATAGCGGCAAATTTCTTGAAAGTAAACGTCACAGAGCGGGTACAGCCTTTACTAGTCGCCGCCTCGTAAAATGAGAGCTGTGTGCGGATATGATCAAGGTTGTTAGATAAATCAATAATTCGGTTCTTGCTATCCACTGTTAATCTTCTCACTACAAGTATGGTACGAAAGCGGATGACAGTGTACGTTACGTTACATTCGATCCAGTCTGCAGCTCTTGCACTCCCAGAATTAATTGCGAGAAGTAACCTCTTTTTAATTACTACAGCCCCGATAGTACCATATGTACTGTATATGCGTGGTAATAGAGCGGATATGAAAGTCACTGTGGATATGCGAAAAGTGGAAGAACCGATGAAATATTAAAAGAAGCGTCAAGATACCCTATTCCCTGAAGATTACGGCAAAGTCTGTTCCGACAATGGCTTCGTCCAGGCGATGGGCATGGCATCTCTTGTAAAACAAGCTGTGCGCTTTGCTCAGCGGCTTGCAGCGGCAGCTAACGTAATCAAAAACTTATGGTAACGAACAGAGTAGCTTGGCTTTAATAGTGCAATATTTTCTATTATAAAGCATTTAGACTGTTACTAGAAAAATTCGTTGGCGAAGTGGCTTCCTAGTACTTGAGCACATAAAGTGAAAAATAGTTAAAATACTCGTACATAGCAAAGATTTTGTTTAGTTCGGTATTGCGTGTTATTGGTTAAAAAACGCATATACAGTACTGCGGGTCAAATGTAGATTGCTCCGGTAGAGTGAACACTGAACGATATGGGCAGGTCTGGAAGCAATAGAGCTTAATAAGCAGATATAAAGCAGTAATATGGCTTGCTCATCCGGTTATTTCTTCACTAATTCTGATAGTGATGAACCTTATCAAATACACTAGTATGTATTAAAGCATCCTTTCAACGAAATGACAGACGCTCCTTCTCTCCTTCTGCAACCTTCGTACGTCGTGACATTACGGTAATCAATTTCACAGGATGGGATTACGTGGTAAAGGGCGCGGCTGACATCGGCGTCCACTTCCTTCCATTCATTGTTCTTGTGCTCGATAATTCAATAATTATATAAAGAACGCTTCGACGAAACAACTTACTGTATTTAGAAATATTTCCGATTTCCGAAGTGGAACTACTTACGTCTGGCGCAGGAATGGTGATCGAAAGGCCTTAGTTACCCAGTCGCAAACAATGATATGTAAAGGTCACTATAACAAGCAGCTGTACAAAACGTCATTGAAATTTGTGCAGAACCGTGTCTGAGCTAATTTATGGTAATTCATACGGATTATAGGCACTATAAAGCGCAGCGAGCATCAGTGCATCGAAGGATAAAATGACACATACGGTACTGTTAGCTTACCTTTGAAATGCTTTTGTATAAAGCTGGTTGTGCGCAGTAAATAAACAAATAATTTCAATCTGATTCTGATGCATTCTTGTTACTTTCTCCCGACAAAGCTGTCTTCTGTAACGGGCTACAAATGCTGTTGCCCAATAATTTAACAAATTAGGTCAAGCTTCTAATATGAACCGGTTATTATGAAGCAACTGGATAATTCATTTATGAGCTAGCGCTACTACGCGTGCTTATTTTAGACCCGACCTAAATACATCCCAGCTTTCCGCTCGTTGTTATGCGACAACAGAACCTTGTTACAAATATTTTTCACAAAAAAACTGTTGGCGCTTTCATGTTCTTTGTAAATTAACTGCTCAATTCGCGTATATTACATGATATTTGTTAGTATTGGTTCAGAGAACAATATAAAAAATCAACAGAAGCGTGAAAAAAATAAATCACCCGTTCAAGTTGTGAGGCTAATTATAACTGGCCACTAATTATAACTTGGTCAGTGGAAAAATCACGCAATTTTTGTATGTGAAAACGGCAAAATATCCCATTTTTATTGCAAAAAGTCTGAAACATTATCTTCATTACCGCATAATTAGTATCCCATCGACACTCGTACGTGTCGAGGATTTCGAACCACAGTATTGACTGACACTGATACGATGACATCTGATTACAATTAAACCCGCAAGTGTCCAACAAATACTCAAGAATTCTTGGACGATGCCGTCATGAGGGTATTATGGACTCCAAAGGTAGGCCATTTCAAATTAACGTTCCGTCTTGTACGGACCGTATAGTGGTCGTGTAGATGTTGGGGTTCACTTTTACCCCAAAGTCACGAAATTTTAAGTCCCGGATAGAGCTTATCCATCGTTTAAGCATGGAGCGATATTCTTGATTCATAGTGAAGAAGATAACCTGCAATCAGCGATATATCGATTGTTTACGATTATTCAGAAATCTTGTCGTGATTATATAATACGAGACTGCTAGAGCGAGGGTTACTGAGCCCATTTATTGGACCGTCATGGTTTTTACGAGGTGTCAGATATACAGGGATAGCTTTCCTCGTCCAATTGGGCGCCCAAAAATTATGCTGTTTTAAATAGCACGAGCAGAATGCCGGACACATCGAAGTATTGAAGTGCATTAGAGCCTTATTTAGAAACATCTAGTATAGCATGTCTTGCAAGTCCATCCACGGGAAATTACAAGGTACAGTACGTACTAAGTTTTTAACAAGTGCAATGCACGATTACCGGGTTGCCGCCGTATCCTAACAGAAAGACGAATCGTAACCACAGCGCCGTTTCCGGAGTTGGACGCGCTAGACCCCTGTCTTCAAAAACCATCAACAAAGGCTGTGGATAAAAGCAGACGCAATGCCAGAGTGACGACACCAATAGGACAAGCGTCAGTTGCAAGGAACGCCGGTACGACGCTGATGTCTGGTTAATTTGGCCCGAAAGCTTTTGCATAGCAACGAATCCAAACATCAGAGCGTAAATGCTCCACACCAACGCTAGCGGCAGATGTGAAACCAGTGTCTGGTGGATCTTCCGGGCTTCCGGGGTTCGGGGCTTAATAGCACAAACATTCGTCGGTGGGATCATTTCAAACCTCAATTCCCGACCAATTATGAGCGGAACAAAATTCGCGGCAGTGACGAGCCAAGTAACAAGGATGAAAATTATGTTTAAACTTTGCTTGGTCCAGTAGGCGCGGAAATGAATTGGAAAGCAGAGTGCGACTAAACGGTTTATGGCCAGGAATGCCAAAGAATAGTACCCGGCGGTACGGAATATTGCGAAAGGGGCTTGAATGAAAAAGCAGGCTGTTGGGGTGACCTTTGCAGAAACACACTTGATTAGAGATTACGCTTTAAACTAGTGCGTTACAGTGGCAATCTCACACGTCAGTAAATCAAAAAAAACTATCTCAAAAATTGCTTATACGAAAGAAATTAAACTTTAAAGTGTGTCAGTACTGTGCACACGCATCTGCAGATCATATATCTGTAGACCTTCTCTAGTACAAAATCAATGCACGGACAGGAAAATTTTGCTTTCGCGGGGCACTTTTTGCGTTATTTAAAGACATTCTATAGCTACGTCATCTGTGAAAAGTTTTCCTGTGCACAATCTTCGGTTGTACTTATGGGTGAAAATGTTCAAACGCAAGCATGCACCCCGAAAGTCTAATTATGGACTAATTTTACTGAAATTTTCCACATAAATGCGCAAAAGTGTAGAAATCCTTGTCACAGTGTACCAAATCACAGTTCTAGGACTGCTTTAAAAATATCAAAACTGGTTTTCCAGATTGAAGAAAAAACTGTAAAACTTTTAGCTCCCTGTTAGAACGATCATACATTTTGGAATTCTATTTTACACAGAACTCGCAAACCGCATATTGTACGTAAAAACAGTTCCCCCGTCTTCGCATAAAATCAGTTCGTCACAGTCTGTTATGAAACAACACAAGAAAGTTGTCGGAAAGAAGTTGTACCGCGGCACAATTTCTTAGTTTAAACAAACGTTTTGCTTAGAAAATAGTTTCTAATCTTTTTTTTAAAAAGTGTTCTGTAGTTCAAACAATAACTCAGCATTAAAATGGTGCTAAATATTTTAAATGAAGTTTTTGGTTTAAGTATAAAAGAGTCAGTAGCACACAACGCACTTACTGAATTTTCTGCATAAAGGATCTGCGTAAAGCTAATCGGATGATTAATGCAGCACATAACCATTTCCACAGCGGTGGCATGGACGATGAGCAGTCGCGTGCCGCTCCGATCCCGTCCAGTTTTTCGCTTGGACATTTGCCAGTGCTCCCATACAGCACCCATCAGCAGGATATATGCCGCTCCACCCAGTCCACAAACCGACATGGAAACACCATACCACACCATTAACTGCTGCTGATAGATAGTGCCGTTGATCTGGGTGGCATTTTGGATTGGTTCAAGAAAAGATGAATAATTTCGGTGCACATTAGTCGAATGATTGCCGCTTGGAGTCAACATAACTTACAACTGTGTAGTAAAAACGGTATGATGGACTGAGTGAAACATTCGTCTACCCTCGATTTTCTGAGTGGTGTTTTGTTGGTAATTGCTGCCGTTCACACCATCACAACTGCTTTGTAATTCGCAGTCAATCTGTTAATGCAGCTGCCAGCTATCAGCGTGGATCGTGTGGAAATATCGCATTACCGTGACGCACATTATCCTCCAGCCTGACGATGTTGCCAGAAAAATTCGAGTTGCATCCGCAGACTAATTTTGTTTGTCAGTTTTTCACGTTTCCGGCGTTCACCATTGATTATACCCAAGCGCTGCTCTTGGCGCTTTCTTGTTTGCAAATTATATGAAGTAATACAAGAAAACCTCTCGAGCACGGACGTCCTAATGATAAATTGTTCTATACAGCGCAAGTTAGGACGTTGTACGGAACAAAATAAATGTGCAATATTTAAAGAGTAAACCAATGTTATTGTATGGTACAATAGCATAAACACAGACATACTTACATTAATATTTTGTAAATGTGTGCTAAACATCCGGTATATTCTCGGCACATCATAGTAACCACCAATGACATCCTGCAATGGGACACAGATCACTTTCTGACGCAGACGGACACAGATCGCTTTCTGCATTGCGCTTCTTTATTCGCGGCGCTTCCTACCAAACCATCGATGACGTTATGCCTGCCGGCGGAAGTGACGTCATAAATATTACTTCCGTAACCGGTAACGTCGTGGCTGTTGCTTCTGCAACGAACTGCCGTAAGGAACTGTACATTTCTGCATTTATCCTGAATTTAGAGGACTTTTGCTACGCTCCGGTCGATCACTGGTTATTTCGACAGAAAACGTTTTAATGGTTTTGTAAAACGTTAATGGTACGTGACACAACCCGCCATTTATTCGACGGGCATCATTATTTATTTAATTAATTATTTCCGGTAATTGTATTCACTTTTAAATGGATACAATTACAACTACAACTTGAGAACACAATCACAAGGGATGCAAGTGGATACAGTACAACAGAATCCTCCATATGTTATAGTTTACTGTACGGGACGCGCCCGTTAAGGTTACAGCGTATTCACTTGTCAGGTGTATTTGTTTAAATGTATATGTAAAGGCAGATTTTACGTTTTTTATATTAGGGGGACTACAGCTTCTTACCGGATTGCCAGCATATCCTAATAAATTATGATGATGAACTACACCCACACCGCCGGATTACCGCAGCACCGTGCCACTGCGGTCGAAAAGTATCAGCGCCGAACGCGGAAAAAACCAGACAGCGCCGCCACAAGCAGGATTAGTGCCAGCTGAAATGATCGCCGGTAGAACGAAGATTTGCGGTTGTTTCGCCCAAATAACCTTTGACCACCAACAAATCCGATCAGCAGGGCGTAGGTGACTCCCGTCAGCGTTAGCGGCAAATACGTAGTTGGCAGCTTGAATGCTACCGGCCTTCGGGGTGATGGCTTTAACGTAGCAAACATTTAGCGGTGGGGTCATCTCGAATCTCGATACCCAGCCAAACATTACAGGAATATACTGTAAAATTTAATAGCGTCACGGATGAGCCAGTTGATTAAGATGATATTTGGGTTTGTCTAGCCCAATACGCGCGGAAGAGAGCGGGAATGCAGACGGCTGCAAAACAATTAAAAGCCAAGATAGCCGATGAACAGTTACCTACTGTACAGAATATTGCGGCGGGTAGTGTAGAAAAATGCATAGTGTTGGAGTCACCTTTAAAACTAAATATTTTGTAAAGTAATTTAATTCACAGCCGTAATAAGTCGTGCATACGACTACGAGCGCAAAATTTTTACGAAAGATGCAATCGATTTATTTTTAATAATTACAATAGTAAAATTAATTGGCAGATAATTTTCGAAATAGCCATCTTTCCTTTAAAATTTTATTATATCATGACGCATTACTACCACACCGGTAAAGTGCTGCACAGTATTCAGTAGATTCCTTACCGGATACTGCCCATACAAGATCCGCGTAAAACTGGCAGGATGAATAATACAGCACATAACAATCTCCACCACTGCGGCATGGACGATCTGCAGTCGCGTGCCGCTGCAATCACGTCCAATTTTCCACTTTGACACCTGCCAGTGTTCCCAGGCAAGACCCATTAACTTAATGCATATCGCTCCTCCCACTCCACAAAATGACATAGAAACACCGTATCACACGGTTAAATTGGTTTCATACTTCCCTTAACGTTACCGGTTTAGGATGTGTTGCTGAGTGCATGACAGAGGAACGAATAATTGCGGGGAAAATTGGTCGGATAACCTTGGAAAAATGAGCGGTTGTAATTATTGTAACAAATCAACAGAAAAATGAGCGGTTGTAATCCTTTGGACCGCGAGCAATGGACACCGTATGGTCGAAACACTAATCGTAAGTATACTTTATAAAAGAAGCGTTATATCTCTTGATAGCGGTTGCGGGTACATCCTGTACTGTTCACCGTCCCAGGAAATGTGTAGTACGGCTGTGTGTGGAATCATTAAGATGATCAAATAAATTATTAGTCGCCCCTCATTTATGGTTAACCTTTTTACCACAGGACGAAGCCGGAAGGCAGTGTACATTACAGTATCTGTATACCTGTGCGATCCAGTGTGCAGCTTTTTGATCAAGTAGTTTATTGATAAAAAAGAAGTAATGTTTACTAGTTTATACATTTATTCGGCCCAGTGGCCAGTTCAGCTAACAATGAGCTTGCGCAGGTAGAAACCACTTAAAATGATTCAAAATTTAAATAGAAAACAAAGTTAACGTAATCTACAAAGTTAACGTAATTCGTGTTTACTAGTTAACGTAACCTACAAAGTGGTTACAATTAACGATGTTAATTGGTTTTAATGTTAGCTGGAGGTTGTGTGCTCCCGCTCTTTCCTTTCGCCTTCTGTAGCCAGTTACCTGAGTCGGTGGTGGCGCTGCGCCGCTAAGGCCGCTTAGATCTACGCGGCCGCCGCCTTACACGCGCCGACGCCGGCCGTTTGCACTCGGCACTGTTCCTGTGCCCGCACTTGGTTCTGCTTTTGGTTCGGCATTTGCATTTGTTCTGTCACTGCATTTCTGTTCGTGTGCGCGCGAGTGATTTTGTTCTTTACCACCCGCCACACCCTGCTGTACTTTGTTGTTATTTCGCATTGCTCAATAAAGGGGTCTTCGATTGCGCAGGGCACTGGTCGCTCTCTTCCGCCGACCACCGGTCGGCCGGCTTCTCGCTGACCCACGGTCACCGCACACAGCCGCTCACAAGGGTACCAGTCGCCCAGCAGCCGGGGCTCCAGCGCCCACAGTGGTCACCGGAAGCGGTAACATTAAGTAGTAGTTGACGGGGTTTTATTCAGGCAATAGCCAATTAAACGTAACAAAAAGCCTGCGCCGAAAGACACTAATTAAAAAGTTTGAATTTTAAAAGTAGTAGTTAACTTATTCGTGAATCATTTTCTGTAATGTAACAACTGTACTGCGACTAGCGAAATTCGTCGGTGTGCTTATATAATAATGCATTTATACATAAAGTATTTTATTAGTAAATGTTTCAAGTCAAGTGTATTTTATGCTCCAAAAGAAAACCGCTTTGCTAGTCAAGACAGGGAACGGTATTGGCAGATGTGGAAGATGTACATTGTTCAAGAAACAAACAGTAGTACGGTTTGCCATTTGTGCTATCTCTTCGTTTATTACGAGAGTGATAAACTTATACCATTATTAAAGAGTCATTTCAACAAAATGACAGAATTCTTCTACAACCTTCCTATGACGTGACATTACGGTAATCAATATCGTTGGACGGGAATATGTGATGAAGGGCGCGCCTGACATCGGCGCCCACCTCCTTCCAACCATCCTTTGCTCGACAACTCTATATTATACAAAACAATGCTTCGACGAAAGAATTTACTACTTGTAGAAATATTTCCGATGTCCGAAAAATATCTGCTTACGTTTGATGCAGGAATGGTGAAAGGCGTTTCCCAGTAGCACTCAATAATGTGTAAAGGTCACTGTAACAAGCAGCCGTGCAAGCTTCTTTGCACTTTGTGAAGAACCGTGTCTTACCGTAATTCGTACGGATTGGAGGCTCTATAAGTATTGATTATTACAACGACCCTCAATGCATCGGAACATGAAATGTTTGACACTTACCTTTGGAATGCGTTGGTAAAGACTTCTTGTGTGCTGTAGGCAAACAAGCGGTTTCAGTCTGATTTTCATACGATGTTTTTCACTCCGATTTCATACAATCTTGTTACTTTTTCGTGCCAAAGTTCTAGCAGGCTGTGCTAATCATGGTCGGGACATTACGCAATAATTTATTAATCAAAAAATATGCAAAAATACTGGGCAATCTTCCGCGCAGTAGCGTCAAGTTATTAATAAAACATATGCCGGGTTAGCGCTGCTAGGCGTGAACCAAAATCCATCGCAACTTTTCGCTTGTTGTTATGCGACAACATAACTCTGTTGTAAATAACTGCCACAAAAAGCTGTTGGCGTTGTCATGTTCTTTTGAAAATTAGATGCTCGATTCGTGAATCATGGTTTCATGAGTATTTCTATACAACCAGGGCAACCAGGGGACGTGTAAAAGTGCACACTTGCGGTACGTGACGCGGATTAAATTTTCCAAATTATGAACTTATGAACTTTACAAAAGCCGAAAATTCAAATATTAAGGAGCAATGTGAAATTCGTGCTGTGTAAGTGAGTTCGAAGCTGCCAAATTGTAGTACTTGTACCAATCATTGCGCTACCAGAGTATCTTATACTAAGTATTTTATTGTTTTTGTTATCAGGCAGGAATTTGAGCATTACATCCGTTCAGAGGCTCAGTACAGGACGATCACCTGACCTTGTTATACTCAGATTTTTTCGAAGAATCTTTTTCGTTATAAGGGGGTGCGCCAGGCCCATAAACGACTATATTAAAAAAATTTTGCGATGGCCATTGCCCCCTGGCCGAGAGCTTCCTTTAATGTATACGCCGTACGGACTTTTTCAGACGCCGCGTCTTGTTCACG